CATTTAACTGTGTGGATGAAAATACCAATTATTTTTAATTTGTAATTGTTATAAACGCACTATAAAATCGACCATAGCGCATACAAATATATTTTCGAAAATTTAAGCGCGTGAGCAGACACGCATGCGCAGTGTGGCCCTGGGTAAGAGCCTACTCTGCTAATTGGATAAAACGGCCCTGTTCACGTGCACGAAATATAGTAAATTTGTCAAAAATGGAATATCAGCAGTAAGACATTTCTTGGTATATCCAAAATTAGAAAGGGGAAATCCCATATGCTAATGATTTCACAGCGATATTCAACAAAAGTGAACAACGTAACTTACCTTTGCTAGTACTGTCGGGTCCTCTGAGAATTGTGCACTCTTCTATGGTTCCAAATGGAGTGAACAGCTGGCGTACATCTTCTTCAGTCTGTTGCTTGCTAAGCATACCCACAAACAGCTTTCTGTCTTCTGAAGACAACCGCACGTCCCAGCCGAAAACAAAAAGAAAAATTGCTTACATTAGCAACCAATTATGTCAGCCACAAGAATGCATGCGAGACAATCCGTGGCACATCACATCCACTGCATATGCAAACAACTAAACAAAGACATGACAGCTGATCAGTTAGTTGCTTACGACACACACGGCGCCTATATTGACGAACTTATGTATTGTGAACAATTTATAGACGAATTTATAAATAACGAAGTTTAACCTGTGCCAAATCTTACTCCATGAAGACGCGTAGGAGGTTTGTGGTGGTAAAATTGCACTTATTTTAAATATTGAAATCAGATGAAGGTTAGTGACCGGTTTCAAGCTAGAGGAGAGATTGTCTTTAGCACAAACTCAATAGCAGTCCGGTTGTTCCAAGCTGGTATGTAAATGGTGGTAAAGAGAAAGTTCTTGACCCCCGAAATGAATTAAATTATATCCATCCATGAAGAAACCAATCACTTTCTTACCACGGCTCGTAACCAAGAGAAATTATTCATGTTATTTAACAACGCTTTATACAGATTCGAATATTGAGATGATTGTAAATAAAGTACAAACGTGTTAAACAAATCGGTCGTGACCTATTCAAAATATTGTCAAACCATTTATCTGGG